CCTATATATAAACTATTATGTACTCCATAATTTAAATAACAATATTATTATTTCAATATTCCCAAAAAATATTAATAAAAATGAATGACAGTATTATAAAATCATTGTTGAGATTAACTTTGTTTTAAAATATAAATAATCACTTGATAAGAAATTCATTAAAAAGACACTGATTTTGAATTTATACGGAGTTGTTCAATTCAGTTCATCACTATTCTAGTTCAATATATTTCTGTCCAAACAAACGAGCTTTTACATAACCCAATAAATTATTAAACTATTCTAATATAAGATATTATATTATTTTTATAATTAGTTGTTTGTATATAAAATAAATAAGAATAAAAATAATAAAACAAGTAACCTTTTCATTTTTTTTATAGTAAACTACTTCGTAGATAATTGATCAAATCTAACCTTTTCATGCACTTCCCCGTTAGTGTTTTTTGTTATTCTCAAATCTCAAATAATAAGATTTCTTGTGCTAACTTATTTTCTAAATTACGGAGTAAACTATATTTCTTCTGTTCCGAATTAATGTTCATGTTTTTCTTGACCCTAAAATAAATACATTAATATTATTGCATGGTATATTAGTATTATTATTTTTTCTACACGGTAATACATGATTTATTCTTGCTACAAAAAAATTTATGATTTAATTATTATTTCTATATCCAACACTTAACATATGTGCCACCATTTCTATGTATTACTTTGACATTTTTTATATTTAATTTATTTTATTTTTTTGATTTTTTGATTTTTTATAATTGTGCCTTCCTTAAATGCATAAACTTATATATTTAAATTTCTTCATAAAATATTTGGCACCGAATCTCTAAATAGAAACATAATTAAATTAAAAACTTATTTTCTTAACATAATCACACCGAAATAAATTAATAATGATTAAATATGGTAATATTAAGTTTGGACATGTTCTCTAAATGGAAACATTTTTAAATTGAAAGCTTCTTAGATTAGAACTATTAGACGATAATAATGACTAAGTACCGTAATTTTATTACACAGTATATTATTATCATTTTGCTTACATGGTAATAAATTAATAATGATTAAATACGGTAATATTATTACACGATATATTAATATTATTATTCTTATTACACGGTAATACATGATCTATTCTTATTACACGGTGATTTATGATTTAATTATCATTTATTTATTCAACACTTACTATATGTACCACCACTATATGTACCACCATTTCTATGTATTACTGTGACATTTCTTTTATATTTTATCATTCTAAATAAGAATAGAGTAATTAAGTAATTATGCATGCGAAATTATTCTAAAAAAGAAACAACGTTGATCTTGTTTGCGAAATTAGTCCCTTTCTTTTTTATCAAAATTAAGTAATTATGCATGCGAAATTTCTTTTAATTTATCATTCTATTATTCTTAAAAGTATTTCCTTTTAAGAATAGAGTGATTAAGTAAATAATTACCTATTTAATTAGGCATAAATAATTACTTTTTGATAAAATAATCAGGCATAAATTATTCCAAGTAATTATAATAATAATAGTAATAATTAGGCACAAATAATTACCTATTTAAAAAGGAAACAAAATATAAAAAATCTACTGCACCGTCCATTCTTTTTTTATCACAATAAAGTAATTATGTGAAATTGGTTAGGAATTGAAACAAATTACTTCTTTCCTTTTTGATCAGAATAGAGTGATTATTCATGCAAAATTTCCTTTAATTTATCATTTTAAATAGGTAATATTACACAACCAATTATAGTCGTAGATCTTGTTTGTTCCTTAATATCGACGGCGCAGGAAGTGAGTGCATTGGGCGAGAAAATAATTCCCCTACTTTTAAGAATAGAGTGATGTGGTTGTGTAAATATTGTAAGCATATACTTTACAGGTCTCTGCACATGCAAACATAATCCTGTCTTTTCGGGGTTTATAACGTACTGGACAATAAAATCATGAAATATTTCATTTTATTAAATTGGACAGGGCCGCGCGAACGCAGGCCCCAACTACCACAAATTATGACGTAGGCTCCACCTCTTGGGTAGACCTTAGGCGGACGCCCTTCCAAAGTGCAATGGAAGTCATCAGCCTAGGCCATGGGCTTTATTGATCGCCCATTGACCCCGTCCAGGTAAGTATTGAACTAGAAGCTCCTTGGCCGTTATTTATACGCTGTTTCAAGGCTTCACCTCTCTTCCTCCGCCGGTGTGGGATGAATTTAAACTCATCTTCCCCTTCGAAGCGGAAAACTTTACTCTTAATAGTTAATACTACTGCCCGTTTGAAAAATAGAATCCATACAACTATTAATGCTCCCTCTTTCTTTTAGGCTCCCATATTTCAAAAAATACTCCATGTTTTTGTGATCTTAAAATTCACATGTATAATGCAAATTTTTGTATTTTTTATGGGTGGCAAATAAACCTTCCTTTTTTACAAAAGGCTTAATCTTTTTTCCATTTTAAAATGATTATATCTTTAAATCTTCAACTCCATATCATATTAGTCTAACAAATGATTAATGATTAATATAAACACCTAAGTGCTATCTATACCATCATTTGAAAAGAATATGATACCCATGTCCCATAGAACTTTTCAAAAGTGAAAAAAGGCACACCCTAAAAGTAAACAATTTGATATTATTTCCTAATTTTGCCTTACTTTATAATTAAGTAGAATACGATGTGTATGATAGATTTGTCATAATTAGAAAAATAATATCAAAATAACTTAATTTTAGGGTGTTGTGCTTTTTTCTAAAAAGATATATGGAACGGAGGAAGTATCAATTACACTAAAAAAGTTCTTATACTAAGAAACTTTGTGTTTTTTACTAGTCATCTTGAGATCATTAGTAAATTAAGTAAAATGATTTTTTATTTCTGGTGTCATTCTTTATTAAGATAATTAAAATAAAAAATTGTTAAGGGACGGAGGGAGTAATAAAACTAATAATAATAATAATAATAACAACAATAATAATAATAATATTAATATTAATATTAATATTAATATTAACAATAACAATAACAATAACAATAACAACAACAATAACAATAACAACAACAACAACAACAACAATAATAATAATAATAACAACAACAACTATAGTACTACTTATGGTAATATTGGTTATAGAAGTATTTGATGATTAGTCAGCTTCTTATTTTTGTTTATGATAGATATCTTATTTTAGTTAGTTTTCATTCCCTATTTCTAGTTGCGTTAGAAGTTTTTCCTATATATACGTAGTCTATCATGTAATCCATAATTAAATGAGTAATATTGTCATTCCAATATTCCAACAAAAATATTTATAAAAATGACAGTACTATAAAATCATTGTTGAGATTACCTATGTTTTATGATATAAATAATCACTTGATAAGAAATTCATTACAAAGACATTAATTTTTAATTTATAGTTCAATTAAGTTCTTCACTATTCTAGTTCAATATATTTATGTCCAAACAAATGGGCCTTTACATAATGGAATAAACTATTAATTCTTATAATCTAAGATATTATATTATTATAATAATTATAATTAGTTGTTTATATACAAAATAAATAAATAAGAATAAAAACTATAAATCAAGTAAAAATGAAATTGTAAACTACTTCGTAGCTAATTGATCTAATCTAACCTTTTCAAATGATGGGATTTCTTATGCTCAATTTTTTCTCTAAATTACAGAGTAAAATATTTCCTTTGTCCCAAATTAATCTTCATGTTTTTTCGTTTCGAGATGCCACTAAAACAGCTTCTTCTTTTTCTTCGAAAGCTTTTTGTGGCTTGTTATCTCCCTCTCATTTGCATCATTTTCAACCATTCAATTTCTCTTTTCTTAAAGTTTGTATCAAATCCAATCAAGAATATTTATTTGGGACGGATGGAGTATCTTTAATATGACTATGTTAGTCATTAGTTCACACTTTAGTGACAAAGAATCAACCCAACCAAAAGTTTAACTATGTGGTTGTAGACCTAGAAAAAATCTTATACTTTAACATGTCTTCTCACATGCAAACGGACAAGGCTTTGATACCATATATAACAAATCAACCCAATCAAAAGTTCAAGCATGTAGTTTTATAACTTTGTAGACCCATGAAAGTTCAAGCATGTAGTCACTACTAGAATTACATTAGGTATTAGCAATAACATTTTCTACATTAATGTAAATTACTCCCTCCGTCCCCAATTTGATTACAAATTGTGGGTTATTACGGAGTAAAATTTCATACTATTTGAAATCATTTTATTTACAAATTGGTATATCAATAAGATATAAAAATTACATATTAAAAAACTACGTCAAAAGTTCTATAAAACAAGAGGTGACAAAAATATTTTATTTTATCAAATACTTAATGAAATCGCGTAAACAAACAAAAGTTATCGAGAAGAGAGAGAAAAAAAATTGTAATCTATTTAATGAGGGATGGAGTATTAAAAAATGCTAAGGCTCTTCCTAAACAAAGTCTAAATTATTCTTATAATAGTTTTAAATTTGTATTCTAGTGATTTTTGAATTAAATATTTGACATAAAAAGAAAAAACGATGCATCATTTACTTATCTTAAAAAAACCACTTTTTTTTTTTAAAAAAGATCCCCTTTTAAATATTTGCGTTAAAAAAGAATTGTATGGTTCACATAATCTGTTTTATTCAATTTTCTAACGCAATATTTAATTCTAGAATAATGTATAGAATCTTAACACAATTCAAGTTTATGTATAAATCATAATTAGTAATATACGGCAAACGTATAATACGTAAATATGTACGTTCGTGTATAATACGTTAGGATTTTATAAAATACGGAGTACGACTTACTATGCATATCAAACGTTTGGCTACGGATACGGATACATACGTGTTTTAAACGTTTTCTATTTTTAAAATACGTTTTATTATATGTTTATATCTATTATCATATAAGTCAAGTTTACACATATGTATTGATTGATAGTCATTGGTTCCGGAACCACCTATTCCGGCCCCAGCACCGGTTCCGTACCTGTAATGTGTCCAGACATGTGAAGTGAGCGAGAAGGTGAGTAAAAAGATCTGGGGCTAACTGGCTGGGTGATTATTTGGAGCAAGTGGTGGAGCACAACAAATACCTTTACAAGTAGAATCGGCTTCTTCTTCTCTTTTAAACTTAGCATTTTTTCTTAGTTCATCGCCATGGCAACGGAGCTTTGTGTCAAGGCAGCTGCTGGCGCTCCTGATGATCTCGGAGACTGTAATCTCCCCACTCCCTGTTAAAAAATTTATCTCTTCTTTGCTGGTGTTTTTTTTCTTTCTACCCCGAAATCCTAACAGTTTTTGATGTGGGGATAGGCCCATTTTGTCAGCGAGTAGCTCTCACCCTGGAGGAAAAGAAGATCCCTTACCAGACTCGTCTCATCAACACTAGCGACAAGCCCCAATGGTAACAAATTCTACTGGATCTACTGGATTCCATTCCTGATCGGCACTAAATAGATAGGGTTTATAAATTTTCTTTTAGTTTTGAATTTTTGTTGTTGTTGTTGTGTATATTTCGTGTATCAATAATGTATGATCTTTTATTGCTATCTATTTCGTATCGATTGGGCTTTTGGGTTTCAGGTTCTTGGAGGTAAATCCAGAAGGGAAGGTTCCATTGATCAAATGGGATGGAAAATGGATTGCTGATTCTGATGTGATTGTTGGGATTATTGAGGAGAAATACCCAGATCCACCTCTCGTAGTCCCCTCGGAATTTGCCTCCGTGTAATGTTCATCACTACTCTCTCCATTCATTTTATCCATAAAGAATGTATTTATATACTCGGTTCATCCATTGAAAGGTTTTCTTTGTTTTTGAGGATATAAATGAAGAACTAGACATGGTGTGATGAAATACTTTTATTTTTCTGTTTACTGGGTTAAACGTTACAGCCCTTACTCATTTATTATCCTAAATCAAATGGGTTCTTAGTTATGTCGTAGGTTTAGCCTTCGTAGGAACGAAGACATCTTGAAGTGTATCCTGAATGTGTTTTCTACTGTTCATCATAAACCCCTAAGAGGAAATGGGATACTAAAACTTCCAACTAAGTTGTGCACATTTAGCTTTTCCTTTGTTTTTCGTTAGTTCAGAATCCTCAAGAATGAGACTTATTTTTACCCAGCAAATGAAAATTTGATAACTTCATTGTTTAGAATTTTACATCATAGAGATATCTACTTTGTAATACTACCTATGTCTGAAATAACGAGTCATGCTTGTCCGCCGCACAATTTTTGTTTTTGTTTTGGTAAAAAACAATTGTTACTCCGTAGAAATTATGAATCACACATTTTTTAATTCATTTGATGTTTTAATTGAATTTTAGTATCTAATTTGTCTACTCTCTTTTAATTTATTTTGGACAATTTACATGAAATATTAGCTGCTTTTGATCGAAATATGGACTCATTTTTGGGACCAACAAAGTAGTGTTTGCTTGGTACATGAAATATTAAGTGAATTTTACATAGTATCTAATTTGTCAACTCCCTTTTAATTTATTTTGGACAATTTACACAAAATATTAGCTGCTTTTGATCGAAGTACGGACTGGTTTTTGGGACAAACAAAGAAGTGTTTTATACATGACACTTTTTGAGGGGATGGAGGGAGTAATATATTCTCCTTCCATCCCGAATTATACTTCACAGTTCACATGTTTTTTTTTTGTTTTCCCAAAATAAACATCACACTTTGCTTATTTCCTTTTAATGAATGGAACATGTGGCTCAGAATTCTTCTCTCTCAACCAATTCCAACCACGCCTTTTATTTTTCTAATACTTGTTAAACTTAGTGAAGTCAAATTGTGAAACTTAGTTTGGGACCAAGGGAGTACGTAGTGTGTCACAATGAAATTTGAACGGCAATCAATACTTTCTACCTTGTTTTTGATGTTGTCTTCTATAGATACTAATAATTTTCTTCTATGACTTGCAGTGGCTCTAAGATATTCCCTTCTTTTGTTGCTTTTTTGAAAAGCAAGGATCCAAATGATGGTACAGAGCAGGCGTTGGTTGAAGAACTGAAGAAACTTGATGAACACCTTAGCATTCATGTATGGATTTTTCATTTGCAGATTGTTGTAAATGCGCTTATTATATTACATTATGTCAACCTCTCTGAATTCTGATGGATGTAAAGCTAATATGACTTGCATGTTTAGGGACCTTTCATCAATGCAAAGAATATCTCTTCTGTTGATTTGAGTTTGGCACCAAAGCTGTACCACCTTCAGGTTGCTCTTGGGCATTACAAGAAATGGAGTGTGCCGGAGGACTTGGGTCATGTGCATAATTACATGAAGGTATTTGTTTGTCTCGTTAAAATAAAGCATATGTTAGTCACTCTTTGGAACGGTTGTTATTTATAAATGTTTGAATAATTAGTTACACCCTCCGTTCAGATTTAGTTGTCCACTTGTTTTCATTTGTACGGAATCAGTTGTCCACTTTAATTAAGAACATTGTGGACGTGGATGAGTGGCAAAACTCATCTGAAAGACTTAGGTGACAGTTGTAAATGAAATTCTTTTGAAAATGGACAACTAAATCCGGGTTGAGGGAGTGTAGATAAGAAGCGTAAGGTTCAGACCTAAGATCTCTATGCAAGTGCCCCATTTCTATAGAAATTCAAAATTTAACTGCCCAAAGATCAGTTTGAAAAACAAACATTACCAACTCACAATCGCCATTTAAAGAGAACTTGAGTAGTTTTATGATTCTATCCACTGGCTGCTTATCTCTAGCAAAAGCCTTTTTTATACCAAAAATGTGAGTCATTTTTCATTAGGCTATAAAAAAATAAGCCTTTTTTTGTACCAAAAATTTCAGTCATTTTGAGTCTTATTCTGGAAGCAAAATAGTACTCCAGCTGGTGTTTTCATTCTCGTTCATCACTTTTTCTGCAGCTGCTCTTTGAGCGGGAGACTTTCAAGAATACCAAGCCTCCAAAAGACGAGTATATCGTTGCCGGGTGGGCTCCAAAGGTTAATCCATGATAACTACTTATTAGTATGTGTTGGATCTAAAAGTTGTTAGAGATGTCTTGGCTATATAAATAATGACCAACTTAATAATTTGTGTGTGGAATCTTTTTTTTCATCAACTTTTGTTGGCTTGGCCATTGATGAACTTTTATTAGTTAAATAAAGGTGTTATCAGCTATAAATGTATGGATTCAGTGTAATGGGCTTGCAAATTACAGTATATTTAGGGATGACATTGGCCCTTAATGTCATGTTTTAGTTGAACTGAAGCTAAAACTCATAGAATCAGATTTTTGGAGTACAAAACTACTTTTTTTTCCATACCAATGATAAAGAATTAAATTTCAACCAATGTAACAAATTGTACTCCCTTTTAACTCTTGTTTACTTTTTTAGACTTCTGATAAGTTTATTTTGCGTGTATTTTAATTCGTCAATTAATAAAATACAGTATTTATTTGATAGTTTTTAAACACTCTCAATCCCTTAAGATATTCTCATTTTGACATTTTGTAATTTTTAAGGAGAGTTGAAAATAGATAAAAATTTACCAAAATATTCTTAATGAGAATGTGTAGAGTATATTAAATAAGGTGTTGAGATGTAATAAATAAAGTATGTGTGGGTAATTGTGATATTTTAAATCTTACGAAGGCTAGTGAAAAGATCTATGAGACAAAAATAAAGGGTTAATGGGAACTATGGGAGATAGAAGGGGTATGTTTTATTACCAATTTATAAAATTATTAAAAAAAACTTATGTATGTTATTCATAAGTCGATAAAATAAAATATTTATTTCATAGTACTAATTATTACGTATTATTATTTTTTGGGAGTAGTTTTTAAATATGTTTAGTTACCAACTCACAAATGAAATTTTCCTTCAAAAACAGAAGAATTCATAAATGAAATTTTCCTTAAAATAAATAAAATTATGCACGTTCAAAATAAGAAACATTTTCTTGCCTAAGGAGTATCTTTTAATTTGAAATTTAAAAACACAAATACGAAGTAAACATTTAAGCACGTTCATAATAGCCAACTAATACTAGAAATAAGAGGGAAAGACCAAAGTAGGACTAAAACATTGAAAATATATCAAAATAGAACTTCCATGTTTTTATTCTTGAAATAGGACTTACATTACCATACATGGTCATATACATTACCAAAAACGTTTAGTAATTTGCACATGTACACTGTTACATTACCACAGGGCAAAGTCACATTACCGCAGTGCAAAGTCCTATTTCAGGGAAAAAAATATGAAAGTCCTGTTTTGGTACTTTTATCTATGTTTTAGTCCTATTTAGAGTGATTTCTACATAAAAAATCTATTTTTTTACTTTTTAATTTGAATAATGGATGCTTATTTAAGCCATAAGAAAATAGTTATTTATGATTAACCTTAGATCCACCCAAATATTTCCCTTCAATAGTACCACTTTTGCAAAATATTTAAACACCATTTCATAGACTATGACTTTAAACTCAGACAAAAACACATTAAAATCTTTAAATAAAATTTGGTGGCTTGGCAGGAGGCCCGCACGGTCGAGTTCTGCAAAGTAAGCAGCGTCAACGACCGGCCAGCCTATAGCCCCTCCATAAATTCTTGCGCCACTTACAAAACTGGACGCGGCAACCGGCTCTCACCGCTTGCTTTGTTTTCCTTACTCATTAGTTTAAGGCAGTTTTACACAATTCTAGCTTCCTTATATTTATACATGTTCGGCTCCCCATTTCCCATCTCTAATACCGGTGTGGGATGAAATCCACCAATTTCTGGTTTACACGTTACTAGACCCATCACTAGTAGTAGTGAGTACTATCATGGTTTACACACTTTCGTTTGTTTTTAGGTGTTGGTGGATATTACAAGTTTGTTCTCTTTTAACTTATTTTTCATAATTATTATGTATTCTTATTAAGATTAGCTCAGTTCAAATCAAATCAAACCAGATCATATCATAAATAGTTTTAAATATAACTTAATTTAGATCAGATTATATCAAACCAGAATAAAATCATTCAGATCACGTAAAAAGAAAAAGTTTTGTCTACATAGTGTAATCGAATCTAGATAAAATAAATGTACTATTTTTGTCCAACTATTTTTTTCTAATTTAATTTTTTCGAGTTAAACTAGACAAACGTTGAGCTTCAATTAATCTTAATTTTTATTGAGCATTAACTTAATGAAAAAAATTGAAAATTTTTCAACAAGAAAAAACTAATAAAATCTTTTTTATAATAATATACATTAAAATTTTTGTTTGATTAAAGCTCAAAGTCCATCATGTTTTACTCAAAAAATCAAACTCGACAAATACAATGTGACATAAGAAGTTATAATTAATATTGACATACAATTTATTTTTTACAAAGAAATAAAATGAGTGAAAAACGAGAACTTTTTTATGGTGCCTTGTAAAGAGAGCGTTTGAGTTATTTAATTAATTATTTTTGTTAAACGTTTGTTAAAATAATATGGTCACGTCATATCTTCTTTTATATAGAATTTGATATAGTTTATGAAAATATAAATTTATTTAAAATTTATGTTACGTTCCTTTGTTTAAATGTAGAGTAAATTAGATTAATATAAACTAATTTAGTTGGACTTTGGTAGTATTCTTAGTTATGGTAGGAATAAAATTATGATAGAATTAAAAATTGATTTTTTTGTTATTCCCTCTTCCAATATAAAGAAATGTTTGCCTTTATATTCAATTCAACAACTCAATCTATATAATACGTTCTCCTATTATTTTTTATCATGCTATCAAAGCATGTGTAAGTTGATGAAGTATGACAAGGATTTGAATGATATATGGTGGATTATAATTACAGACATTATTAAGAGAAAAGGGATAGGAGGTATACCAAGAGCTAGCTAGATGTAGCCGTGCGTGATTAAGATTTATTGCCAACAACAATATGTGTAGGTGATGATATACGTAGATTAAATTAAATGATGAGATACAGTTATTGAGTTGGAAGAAATATGGTGAAAGGCGCCATTATCTATGAATCAAGTGGGGGGGGCTAACGGAGGCTCATCATGTCAAAGGTGCAGTGTGGCCAAGGGAAGTGGGAGTTTATATGGATTTGGGGTTTTGTAGGGTGTTAAATAAGGTTGCAAGTAGTTGGAGGAGGGGTTGTGAGACCCATATGGGTATAGGTATGGAATAATGTATGGCACCGAGTACGGTCGTTGTGGGTATAAGTTTGTTATGCGGCCATGGTATCAGTAAGGTGTATATATAGGGACGTAGGTGGACATAGATCAAGTAGACCAAGAGTGAGAGAGGGAACGACGATGAAAGATATGTGGGTGCATAGGGACTCGTCACGTTGCATCCATGACCACTACCACACTGTCCATGGTCGCAATGACAACGTCCTCGCACAATACTTGAATCAATACAACTCCTGCTTGCAAGTGTCAATATCATTAAGGGATTAATTGTAATCGCAAATACTAGATTAAGATGAGGACTGCCTACAGATGAGAGGATTGTTGTTGTCATTGGCTTTAAGGTCTGCAATATATTGTTATTCCACCTAAATTAGAGCACATCTTGTTCCCATAAATGTCAGGAATGGCTTCTCAAAAGGTAAGAATAAGTGCAACCAGAAATCAGCTAGGAGACCGCATAAGACTTGCAACACTAATGCCTTTTTAGGATGTGGCATCTAAATTGACAAGGCAATCAACCAAATTCTTAAAGGCTTGGCAATATAATAATGGAATGATTGATTTGGTACATTTGATCATGTAACACCCCGGCCCCCACCCTGGCCGTAAGTGTCCGCTCATAGGATTGTAGACTGACCCCACAAACCAACACACGTCTTTCCCGCACACTTTGTCCTCACTCGTGCGCGCCCAAGGAAAACTTTCCAGGGGGTCACCCATCCAAGAATTGCTCCAAGTCAAGCACGCTTAACCTTGGAGTTTCTAGGCGATGAGCTCTCGAAAAGAAGATGCACCTTGTTGGTATGAGTAGTACTATCAATCCTTTTGAACTCTTCCCATTCCCATCTTGATACGGGGTATTACATATCATCCCCTAAATCAATACTTTATTTAAAAAGACATGGATTCAAGAAATGGTTTTCCCGCCCATGCCTTATTGTATTAAAAATGGCAATTTTCACTTAAAATGGTAATGACTCAATTACATTAAATAATTAAATTAAATATTAAATAATTACATTAAAATGGCTTATGCCAACCTAAGTATGGCAATTAATGACAATTAATATTACACGATATTTTTTTGGTACACTTCGTAGAGTTCCTTTCGTAAGTTATAATACTAAACATGATTAATATAATTGGTAAGTTAATATTACACGGTATTTCTTTTTTTGGTAAGTTATAATACTAAACGTGATTAATATAATTGGAAATAATTAAAAAAGAAAGTTATGCAATTATAAGTTTAGATTCGCAAAATAGTAAATTTTAAGAAATAATAATAATAATAATAATACTAAACGTGATTAATATAATTTGGAAATAATTAAAAAGGAAATGGTAAGTTGATATTACACCATATTTCTTTTTTGGCAATTAATATTACACGGTATTTTTTGGTAAGTTATAATACTAAATGTGATTAATATAATTGGAAATAATTAAAAAAGAAAGTTAAACAATTATAAGTCCAGATTCGCAAAAAAGGAAATTTTAAAAAATGGAATTAATATTACACGGTATTAACAAATGGTAATTTTTATTACATTAACAAATGTCAATTAATGTTACACGGTATTAACAAATGGCAATTAACATTACACGGTATTAACAAATGGTAATTTTTGGGTCATTAACAAATGACAATTAATATTATACGTCATTGAAAAAAGGTAATTTTTATTACATTAACAAATGTCAATTAATGTTACACGGTATTAATAAATGGGACTTACCATAATTGTAATTGCAATTTGTTAATACCGTGTACTACTATTAATGACAAAAAATGTTACACGGTATCACTTTAAAAATGTTATGTTATTAAACTAAAAAATACCATTTGTGAAATTGGGAATTACCATAATTGCAATTTGTAAATACTGTGTAATTTACCATGTACTACCATTAATGGCAAAAAATGTTACACGGTAGTATACTTTAAAAGCGTTATATTATTAAACTAAAAATACCATTTATGAAATTCGGACTTACCTCTAATCTAAAATATTATTATTATTATTATTATTATTATTATTATCATTATCTAAAAAATATCACACGGTCTTATCTAAAAAATCACACCGTTTAAGAAATAATTATGGTAAGATTAATTATTTTACTCTTGCAGGAGCGCGCAATTTTAGCTCCTACATTGGATGTCGTCTATTCCATAAATGAATATATGACAATGATGAATCCAAGCAGCGAGTCTCGAACATACCTTAGTTCTGACAAAGTTGAGAACTCGGATTGTAGTTCAAGTTTTTTCGTGACCTACACTCTCCTAAATTCTTAAATAAGATTCGTGCTTCTGGTGTACCAAATCATGAGTTAACTTTGAAAGTAGGTACGCTTATTATGTTGTTGAGAAATATTGACCATTCAATGGGTTTATGTAATGGTACACGATTGATAGTAACCCGGTTGGCTAATCACTCAATACAAGGAAAAATACTATCAAGAAGCCACATGGGTGAAGAAGTCGTTATTCCAAGACTTTCACAAACACTATCCGATACAAGAATTCCTTTCAAGTTTCAAAGAAGACAATTCTCTGTGGTTACTTCGTACGCAATGACGATTAACAAGAGCCAGGGACAATCTATCTCTGAAACATGTTGGACTGTTGTTACGAAGACCCGTGTTTGGTCATGGAAAACTCTATGTTGCAGTTTAAGAATAGCTAATCGTAGTGGGTTAAAGATTCTGATATGCAATGAAGACAATATTCCTGATTTGAATTTAAGAACATAAAAATGATCCATGCAACGCACGGGTGTGATACTAGTTATATTCAAGTTGCATTGCTCATACCTTTTTATGGTCATAGAAAAGATCATGAATCGTTATCCACAAGGCATGAGCGGCTGAGTTTGATGCACTGATGAGATCTAATACTCATTGGAAAATGTAGAGAGAATCCAACTTTGAAGTATGTAGGAAAACACTAGTGTGACAGTGCTGGAAAGGTATTCTTGAAGATTAAAACATTGAACAAGAAGGAAAAAAAGAGAACTCCATTTTTTGTAATCATGTTCCAAAATACCGATTCAGGCATGAAGTTGATGTTTGAGATGGAAGTAATTAAACACAAAATAGGGAGAATTATGGTTGGTTTGTTGGAGGTGTGCCTCTCAGAAGATTGTAAAATTTTAAGGCTTACGCTTTGATATCATGAAAAATTATCTTCATCAATAATCAATAATGAATTGAAGTTGACACGAATAGTATCAAATAAGGCTAAATTTAAGATCCAAAAATGAGAAAGGATGAAGAAAAATAGAGAATATCGAGGTAAATGAGCAGCCTTGGACACATAAGGCACAAATGAAACAAGAGACTAATTAATGTATGTTGTAGAGGTTGCACGGGTCGGGACAGTCCGAGTTTTATATTGCCCTGCATCATGTCCCATTATATTCAAGTCGTTTGGAACGGAGATCATAAACTTATCTCACTTTATCCCACAATATACGGGACTCTGAGAAAATAAAATGAATTGTCACACTTTGTCTTTGTTCAAAGTTAGGATAAGATACACGGGAGGATGAGAAAACTAATTTGTATACTTACAACAAATTAATAAAAAATTGAAAACAACACGTAGTCTTGCATAAGAATGTAGTATTAAAAGATTAAGAATATGTGTGTGTGTGCGCGCGGAAAAGTTTCATTTATTTACACAATTACCACGGTTATTTTTTCATTATTTTCAGATTTTTATTTTTTAATGGATCATATGCATTCTCATTTTTTCATTGTGCATCATTGTCATTTGAACCAAATTCAATACACATATATAATGTGTTGTGGCCTATCCAACACGTCCATTGTGATATGCATTACATACATTGATGACTAGATTACAAATGAACTTCATGAATCTTGTAAGATATTGCAGTGGACCATAGTAATAACATCCATGAAGCATGATGGGACCATTGTACTTATAAACTATAATTGCTTGAATTTGGATGTTGGGGAAGACGGAATGAATGTACGGAGAAACAAATACTCCGTAGTGTTTATTTCCAACACACTAAACTACGAGTGCCAATTTTTGTAGTAACATTTTAGAACTCAAAAATTCCATCAAGATAATCTCTAATATATCTCACCCTTCACTTAGATTCATTATTATATTATTCCCAAACTTAACTTTTTCTTGACAACTTTATTCTTACCCAACAAAGCCTATATACAAATGCAAAGACGCTCATCAAGTCCGGTTATTAATTACTTGTCGCGATGTGAGATCATTTTCTCGATCATTGCACTTGTCTCTGCTTGCGACATTCGGTCCGGTTTGGTTTGAGATTGAGCATATGCTGCAAAGAACTCCCTATTTTCTTTCTCTAACTCTTTCCATACTGTGTAACAATCAATATAGAGTAAGTTGAATAGTATTATACTCTCTACCAATTCATCTTAGGCACATTTCTCCTAAAAGGAAATTCTATGGTGGACTTTAATAAGCATCTATTTTTAATATTAAAAAAATTTAAAAAAACATTAATGTGAGAAGATCCACCAAAATATTATGCATCCAAGGCGCACCAAAGAATTAAGTAGTGAACCATATAATATATCCCTTGAAGTGACTACGAAATTATAAATTTTGAATTTAATTTGTAAATGTGATGCATGCATAACTGCAATATATAGGTAGTTGCCTCGGTTAATTGCTTAATTGATTTAATTGTGTATCCTTTCTAGTTTGACACATAGAGTGGGATCTAGGTCATCAACCAAGGCCACACATCTGGAACACTCATGTTTGTGACCACCACTCTTTTTCCTGATCTTTGGGAGTCCTCACTACCGAGTATATATATGGGGTATTTGCCGTGGTGACGCTTATTAATTACTCCCTCCGTCTCACTATATTTGTCCACTTTCATTTTTACACACCATCCAATGCACTTTTTTAATCCATTTTATCTTGTAATTTGTATATTAAAAAATTATAGAAATTACTCCCTCCGTTCCTAAATAAACTTCCTCTTTCGTTTTTTCTTTGTCCCTAAATAAACTTTTCTTTTTCCTTAAAAAACCTCTTTTACCCCTTACTTTTTCAAACCCTACCTATCACATCATACCTTTTTACTAATAATCTACATGTCACATCTTACTTTTACACATCACATCAAGGGTATTTTTGGAAAGTCAACACCAAAATATCCCTCCCTTAAATCTTCAAAAAGTCAAAAACGGAAGTTTATTTAGGGACGAAGGGAGTATATATTAATAATCTACTCCCTCCGTCCCTAAATAAAGTTCCTCTTTAGTTTTTTCTTTGTCCCTAAATAAACTTCTCTTTTCCCTTAAAAAACTCCTTTTACCCTTTACTTTTTCATATCCTACCTATCACATTATACCTTTTTACTACTCCCTCCGTTCCTAAATGGATTACAATTTTTTTTCTCTTTCCTCTCGATAACTTTTGTTTGTTTACGCAATTTCATTAAGTTTTTGATAAAATAAAATATTCTTGTCACCTCTTGTTTTGTAGAACTTTTGACGTAGTTTTTTAATATGTAATTTTTATATCTTACTGATATACAAATTTGTAAATAAAATGATTTCAAAAAGTAGATAATTTTACTCCGTAACCCGCAATTTGTAATCAAATTGGGGACGGAGGGAGTAATAATCTACCTATCACATCTTACTTTAACACATCACATCAAAGGTATTTTTGGAAAGTCAAGACCAAAATATCCCTCCCTTAAATCCTCAAAAAGTCAAAAATGGAACTTTATCTAGGGACGGAGGGAGTATATGTTAAGACAAATCAAACAAGATCACACATGACTATATTTAGACTTACACATTGAGAGAATTTGATGAGTCAAAGTGCTTAGATGAACAGTTCCAAAAGTCAAAAGTGGACGAATATAACGGGACGGAGGTAGTAATTACCGATAAATACTTTTTAATTTATGAGTCGTCTATAAGTTAATAGATAAGTCATTTGAAAATATTCATAAATGACTAGAAACAATTTTGTAGATAATTAGGTCAAAATAGAGTTTTAAAAAAATGGCTATAAAATAAGCATTAATTGGCCTATAAACAACTTAATTATAAGTTAGCTTATAAGCACGGAAAACATACCATCAACCGACTTATAAGTTAAAAAAAACTTATAGACATATTTGACCAGCTTTAATAACTAATAACTGCTCTCAATTTGTATTTCATATCAACATAATAAAATAACATTTTAAAAATTATCTACAATATATATTTAAAAAAATAATTTGTATATTAATACACATTACAATTTTTATTTAATTGAAGTCTAAAATTTATCAAGTTTGACTTAATTGAAAAGTCTAATAGGACGAGTACATGCATTGGGACGGAGATAGTATAATTAATATTTTAAAACTATGTTCCCGGACGAATCTATTAATATTAAATTTATATATCAACATGGTGTACGAAAATTCAAGACAAAACGAGTAATTAATATTCTCTTTTTCTTTTAAAAAATATAATTGAAAAGATAAACTAGGATGGGAATATATATCGCTAGCCATTGCATGCATACGCTCACCAGTTGCAGTTATGACTGGCTCTATGTTTGCATGCTTGGAGAGAGCTTCCATGCACTCCTCTTTTGTCATGTGGAAGATCAAACACTTCTCTATCAAATGCTGCACCTGCATATATATACATACACACCTATATATACATATATATGCACCATATATATAGATCTACCATCATATAAATAAATTATATATGCAAGTAAATATATACAATAATCAATCCCATGTCGTCACCAAAAACAATAAATTATCGCGCGCAGATGATGATGAAAAATACATGGATATATATATATATATATATACATACATGATGATGAGGAAAATAACTAATACCAATTAATAACATGTTTTTGTACAAATAAATTAAAACGCTAATAATAATTGCCCATCATATCAATCCATTCCAACTATTAATAATATAATTAAGAAATTACCATATGTATATATGTAGAAGAAGAAGAAGAAGAATCCCCCATAGCTAGCTAGTATAATGGTTGAGTTGATGGGTGAGGAATTGAATAGATAAAAGGGAAAATTCATTTATGTATATATGTATGGTGTAGTGTGGCATGAAGGAATAATAATTATATGGAGGCCGGGTGGGGTAGAGAGTGCCATGTGGGAGATGAATGATAATTGGTGGAGAAGGGATTAGAAGAGATATGTAAATGCATATTTCCTTTGTCTCATTGGATAGTGTAGAGGACGCAGCAGCCTCCCCTCCACGTGATCAATTCAATGGGTACACTACCCAATGTAGAAATTGTTTATCATTCATGATTTGTTATAAAAAGAAATTTCTCCTCCTCCTTCCACCCCTTCAAAAAAACTTTTCATTTTTCTAAAGAAATTTCTCATACTCCCTCCACTCCTTAAACAAATTTTTATTTTTCTTTTTTGTCTATCCATAAATAAACTTTTTTTTCTATTTTAGGCCAGTTTTTATGTGTAAAATATCATCTTTACCCTTAGCTTATCCCTTCTTCCTCCTCCTTTCTTCTTTCTATCTTTTTTATTCTTTCTTTTTCTTTCTTCTTTTGTCTACTAGATTTGACAAGATTGGGTTGCTTAGCTTCTTCTTCTTCTCCTTCTTCTATCTACGACAGTATTAAGTTGCATCTTCGCCGGAGTTTGATTGTCACCCTGGTCCACTACTAGATCTGACCAGATTTAGATCTGGACGAAGGTGACAAAAAATTTAATTTTATATAGATTTGTGGTGGGGTGCAGGTAGGTTCTCTTCAACGAGAAGTCCGAAAACAGATATCTGCGATGAAGGGGGTTGCGATGGCAGGGGATTACAGGTCTGCGACGACGGGGGGATGCAGGTCTGCGACGATGGGTGGTTGCAACAACAAGATGTTGTGGAGGGTGGTCGGTGATAAGAACCATATAGGTCGTCGGTGGTTGTGTCGAAGAGTCGTCGTTGGTGAAGCCAAAGAGTCACCGTCGGTGGGGGTAGCAACGGTAGATGGCAGTGGAGTGGAAAGGGCGGATAGGCTGAGGGGTATAATAGGAAGGTCAATACAAAAGGCTGAGGGGTATAATAGGAAGGTCAATACTTTACCCATTGAACTCTCCATATGTTAAAAAATACTCCGTATTTAAAAAAAGTCAACTTTTACTACTACTCCGTATATGTTAAGAAAGCTAATTACTCATACATTGTAACATTTTATAATATTGAAATTATATAAATAAATATTTATCAGGTGTAATTCCATATTATAAAATTTTAAAGCGTATGAAAAATTAATTAGTTGTCAAATTTGACAGTGAATTTAAATTAATACCATAAAATTCTTTAATCATATAAAGGGAGTAACCTAGCTAGTTCAAATGTTCAATAGGTTTCATTGCACACTAATTTGAATGTTTTAAAAATGATATCCAATAATAATTTTTAACAGAACATTTTCAAAAGTTATTGACACTATTTACTCTTAGCCTCTCTCTTTGATTATACTAGTTCTCTAACCCGTGCGTTGCACGGTCATTAGTTTGGCATAGTAAATGAAAAATATATTTTAAATTTATATTGAAAATAAAGACAACAAATTGAAATTATTTCAAATATAAGCATTAAAAGTATTACATAGAAATATTGAGGAATGAATGGCAAGAAAAAAAGGCTACATTAAATGTTCCGAAAGACTTCTTTGTACACTACATTTTTTGTGTTATTTGAAGGTTGTAGGTCATCATTACAAATCAAAACCTTCAAACCATGTCTAATAGTCACTCGAGAGATAACAACGTAAAGTTGGCCGTGACTGAAAACTGGTTTCTTGAGCAACAATCCCACGAGCTTCAACGATTGGCCTTGACTCTTGTTAATTGTCATTGCGTGGGAAGTCATGATAGAGAACTGCTTCCTTTGAAAATTAAACGGAATCCGAGTATCCGAAGGTGTGAGCGTAAGTCGAGGTATGACTACTTCGTGCCCTGCATTCTTACCACTCATGACTTTTCCTTGAATCAAGTGAGTGCCCAATTTTGTAACAATCAATCTAATTCCAATATCTATTTTACACGAATAACGTACACATTACTATTAATCAAGAAAAATTATAATCTCACTTTAAAAAATATAAGTAAAATTACAAAACAAAAAAGGCGTTTGGGCTAAACGCATTGTCCAAATTCTTACACAATCTAATAAATTAAAAAATTAATAACTTTTTAATCTTACTCCAATTATGTATAATTGGTAAATTAAACACCTTTAAAGAAAATATTTGAATTTTATGTAGTGTCTTCAAAATATTTTAAGGTAAAATCAAACCAAACCTTAGTCCAATCCTAAAAAATATACCCAGCCCAATTCTAATAAACCTACCCAGCCCAACCATTGACCCGACCCAACCCACGAATTGTTAATTTCCCTAACCTAGCCGCCCCCTCATCTTTCGACTTCTCAACCGCACCGTCTCTCTCTCTCTCACTCCACATTCAATCGTTTTCCGATTGGTTTCTCATTGTCTTTCATCGATTCGAAGAATTTCAACATTGGAAGACGATGGAAAGCTTCGGTCAGGCAGGCGGGGTAAGTTTTTGATTCCATTATTTCATCTTCTCCGATTTTTTAACATTTTAATTTCAAATCAAAATTAAATACTTCGTATTTATTTTTCTTTACACGGGTTGAAGATTCTGGAGCATGCATGTGTATATATCTGAAATCTGTTTTGATTTAACCATCCTCTTCGATTTTTGAAGATCTAAGAATCATCCACCATTAAATATTCATTTGTCTTCAATGGATTTGAATGTTCTAGATTATGTATGTTTTTTTCTTGAAATTTTGGTCGGATTCCACTATTTTCTTCTCTGTTTGAAGATCTAATTTCAAACAAAATTTAATATATACTTTTCTTAAAAGGAGTCAAGGGATTTAAAAGAAACATCATTTTTTTTGAAATTTGGGTCTGATTTCACCATTTCATTCGATCTTTGAAGAGCTCTTATTAATCACAAATTTAATTATTTTTCTTTAAAGGAAATTAGATATTTGGAACATGCTTTGTATTTTTTTCTAAAATGTGCTTCGGATTATACCTTTTCAAGCACCGCAAATATATATTCAATTTATTAAAATATATATTTCATTTAAATATTCCAGCTTCTTTATTCTCGGAGAAATATATTCTAATTTTTCAAAGTAACATGTCAATATTAGTTTATTTTTTTAATATTATACCTTTTCGATTGATTTTTTACTCATGTAGGATTTACTAATCTTTGAAACTGATTTTTTTAGTATTATATATTCTGAACTGATTTTATTTTTAAAATTTACACCCACCCATATCTATCTGTGATATCAAACAGAGGAACAGAGACAGAGACACTGATTATAAATCTTGAGTCCCAGGTAATATTACAGACATAACAAAATACATAGTATCAAATCAATTTAAGTCAAAATTTATATCTTAAAATTGATAATAATGTTTGTAATGACTGTATGCAGGTCGAGTGGGTCGATGGAGAATAATGTGTATTGAAAGGTAATGTTTCTTTAATTAGATCTCTTTAGGTGATTTATATGCAAGACCTAAGCAATCCTAATATACATGCTAATTTTTTTCCCCAAATTATGAGGTCAATTGATGCTCTTTGGAGAGGAGACAAAGTATTTGGGCTACCACCACAATACAACGAATTTATGCTCTGAATTTCCCATTTTAATTCATATTTTTATTGTAACATGTTAACATGATTAAGAGTTTAGATAATTACTATTCAAAGATTAAAATAAATAAAATAAAATATTTTCCAAAATAATCTCTATAACTTAAAATCTTTCAAGTCTTCTTTAATTTGGCGGTAGTCTGTTATGAAGGTAAAAGAGGTTGGGACGGGTAGGGGATAGGAGAGACAAAAGAAGGTAGTTGTGTGAGACTTATTAAGGAAGGCTTAAATACAATTTAATGGATACTTAAAAAAAATTTAAGGAAGGCTTAAATACAATTTAATTGATACTTAAAAAAAATTTAAATTAAATGATTCACTCCTTTAATGTAGAGACACTAACCTCTCCATATTCTCGAGTTATTCTACAATTAATGGGTGTCTCCATAATGTGAAAAACGAAGCACTAATGGTCTCCATAAATTTTCGCATTAAATATTATTTTCCATACCATACTATTTTAATTTATTTCTTAGAATAAAATATATATTCAATCATTTTCAGTTCATTATATATATATATATATATATATAAAATCTCATTAAAGATAAATTTTAAGAATGCCTGGATTTGTTCTAAATAGGAGTATCTTTTTTAATTTAAAAATCTGACATTTTATTTTTTTGCACTAAAACTATATTTAGTTAAATATAATTTGGATTTGCTCTAAAACTTACTATTACTTTTATGTTAAATATCAATGTGTTAAATATAATTTTATAAAGTCTGGATTTGCTTTAAAACTAACTATATGAAGTTGCATTTTATAGTAAAAATTAAAATTTTTGACCGAATATTTTAGAAAGCGTGTTTTTGTGGTATTCGATATGTTATATTAAAATAAAGAGTATATTTTATTTAATAAGTTAATTAAAAATGATTATTTAATATGTATCTGTATATGTATATATATTGCACAGTGAAGTTGTAACTAGTTTATGTGAGTTAACTTGTCTCATACGTAAGGTGTTTCTCAACGTGCAGAGCATCAGTTTTCCCCTACAAAAGTTATTGTCACAATAAACGGATTAAATTTTCAAAAATCTCAAAGAAATGCATAATTGGATTTAACATACTCATCATCTTCTATGGTCACGTCAATGAGCTTCTCCTCTTTGATCGGAGTAACGTGTGTTCTTACTCTCGAACAACCAACAATTTTTCCAAGAATATCTACAAAATAGAAATTATAGACTTTGTTATTAATTCATAAATAAAATGTTTTTTATTACAAAATTTTCATTTAAGTACATACCTAGCAAGAAGGGGTCTTCATTTGACGGTGTTCCACGGATGCGGTCAAAAGATCGCAAGTTGAACATAAACTCAGGAAAGCCATTTTTGGACATGGTCTTTGCTTCAGTATGAATGTAGATGGCCAACAAAAATTCATGCCTTGTTGTTTTCACATTTTGAAAGTTATCATAGATCAAGAAATTTCTTATCCCATAGACACCACCTTCTACAATTTGTTCTTTGTATTTTTTGTTGTATGATTTTTTGATCTGACAATGAATTCGAGTTCCCTATAATCACCAGAACAATATATGAAGGATTAAGATTTTTCATGCGCATTATTTATTTGTTGCACGAACAAAAAGAGTACCAAAAAAATGGAATAATTGCCATAGTAAAAGATCAAATACCTCCTCATCATGAAATACAACTTCCATTGATTCAACATTTCGTCCATAAGGACCAACATGGTAGACACGTATAGCTCGTACATGAATAGCAATATTTTTTTGGTCACTTTTGAGGTCTCTGAGATTGGTAAAGAGTCCCGGGAAAACGCGTTTGGGAGCCATTTTATTTTGAAAATACTAAACTGAAATTTTCGAAGAAGGTGTAAGTTTGGAAAATGAATTGACAAAGAAGGCTTTATAAATAAGTTTGTATAGAGTGGAGAAATAAATAAATTTGTCTTGGGAATAAACGGCCAAGCCGTCATAATACCCAAATGCATTGTCCCAATTAATTTTTTTCCCTTTTTCGAGTGGATTACGGCGCATAACAAATTATATTTGCCTCTTGAATACCAAGAGGCGTCCTTTACATTAAATTGTGTTTTAAAAGCATACAAAATCATTTTCCAAAGCATTTGAATATGAAGAGGCCAACGAAATTGAGCATTAAATTGTATGCTCTTAATTTTTTCGTGTTCCAAAGTACACCGTTTAGTTTTCCAAAGCATTATTTCGAATTGGATACCCATTGATACACCCAAATACAAATTGGTCAATTATTTCTCTCACAAAAAATGGAAACCCGATTATTACTCCCATATCCGAACGCCCAATCCGGACTCAATTGTTTAGGCGGGAAAATGCACTGTTCATTTTTCCCCTTCACCTTTGTATATTAGTAGATTACACCACCAAAGATTAAGTGTAAAGACGAAAAGTCAAATGTTTTTGATCATACGTTTAAAGTTTAAACATGTGTCAAATAAAAAACTTGATGAAAATATCAGACAAATGAAATATTTTTTATTATTCTATTCGTCCGGTTTTAATTTTGTTATGTGACTTTCTTGGTCAAAATTTATAAATTTTGGCTTCGATATGTTTAAAAAATATATTATGTTTCGATATAAATGTAATACTAATTGTTTTCTTTTAAAACGTATTTTTTGAAATATTAAAATTTTATAAATATCAATATTAATAATTAAAGTGTTATATTAAAAATTATGAAAAATTAAATAAAAAGATTAAAATTGAACAAAAAACTACTCGGTATTTATTGAGAAATGCAAGGACTCACGTGATCTATATTGTAGAGACCCTCTTACTTTTCCACCACTGTTCATAGAAAAGTTTATGGTCATGTGCCTTAAATAGTTGTTATTATGGGTGCACCCATAATTCACACAGATGACACAAATGATAGGAAAAAAGACTAAAATAGGAATAAGAGATTGAAAATAAATCAAAGTAGGAGATTCATATTTATATTTTCAATCATTACCATGTACATTACGTAAAATGCACATGTACAATACTACAATGCGAATTTCTATTTAGGAATAAAAACATGGAACTTCTATTTTGACACTTCCTTTATGTTTTAGTATTATTTAGAATAAAATTTTCAAATAATAATCATCTCTAGAACAAAGATGTGAATAATATGTGCAAAGCTTAGTGATAACAGCACCTTACCATTTTACCAAAAATTTATACACTCCGAGACAAGTAGTACTACGGGAGTACTATTTTCCATAACTCCATTTTCCACCCAAGAATAATAAAAATAAAAACTTTCAAAGGAAATAGTCGCACATCGCCCCTCATCCCTTCCGCCCCGTACATTCATCTCTCCTCCTTCGGTTACTCTTCCGCCGTCCGCAACTCCACGCCGCCGCCGCGCCGTTGCCGTCTTATCGCTTCACGAGCTCACGCGGAGTTTTCTGTTTAGATTCTGTAAGTAACGAATCTGAGAATTCGCTCTTGCTTTCTGTGTATATTTGAACGTCTGTGCGTGTGTTTGTGCTAAGGAATTGACTCGATACAGGGGGACGCAGTGAGTGGCACTTTGAATTCACCTAAGTTCACGGAGAAGGATAAATCTCAAGGTTTTCTACGGAATTTTGTCTTCGCCTGTGTTTTATTATGGGATCTTTGCTAGGTTTTGGTGATTGTGCCGAGTATGAGATGTGCTGTAGCTGAATGTCTTACTGTATTGGTTGTTATAAATTTGGTTAGCTTTTGTTGTCTGATTAGTCCATTTTACAGGTGAAATGATGGACTGGAAGTCTATGTGCTTGTTTAGCTCGGCTCTATGTGATCTCTGATATTAGGACCTGAAAGGTTCGAGTATAGCTTTAGAACTTTTGGATTGTCGATATCTGGAATTGGAATGCTGGGCAAAGAGGATACCTCCTGTGCTGGAGGTGATGGTGCAAGTGGGAGTGGTGGTTTGAGGGGGCCATGCCAACTCCCAAGTGGGCGGAGAATGTATTGGCGGTCGGCTTCGTGGTCCTCTTCAAGGTCTTCGTTGCCCCCACTAAACCCCGAAGGTGAAAAAGACAGTTTAGATCCAAATGCTCAGAGTCGGAGGCCGTTAACTCCTAGATCACAACATAGTTTTAAGGGAAGGTCATGCCTTCCGCCATTGGCTATTGCTCGCAGGAGTCTAGATGAGTGGCCGAGAGCAGGGTCTGATGACATAGGGGAGTGGCCACTTCCTAGTACTCCCAGTGCGAGGGATTCAATCAACAATAGCGAGAGGCTCAAGCTTGATCTCTCGAACATACAGAAAAACCCAGAGAGGAATGGAGGTCTTGTTAAAAGAGAAAAAATTGCTTTCTTTGACAAGGAGTGTTCGAAGGTGGCCGATCACATCTATCTTGGTGGGGATGCAGTTGCCAAGGATAGAGAACTTCTTAAACAGAATGGGATCACACATATTCTTAACTGTGTAGGCTTTGTATGCCCAGAGTATTTTAAGTCTGATTTTGCATACAGGACTCTGTGGTTGCAGGATAGCCCATCAGAGGATATTACTAGCATACTTTATGATGTTTTTGACTATTTCGAGGATGTTAGAGAACTAAACGGCAGGATTTTTGTTCATTGTTGCCAAGGGGTTTCACGGTCTACTTCGCTAGTGATTGCTTATCTTATGTGGAGAGAAGGACAGAGTTTTGATGATGCCTTTCAGTATGTGAAGGCAGCCAGGGGAATTGCTGATCCAAATATGGGCTTCGCATGTCAGTTGTTGCAGTGCCAGAAAAGGGTGCATGCTTTTCCTTTGAGCCCAAGTTCCTTACTGAGAATGTATAGAATCGCGCCACATTCGCCTTATGATCCATTGCATCTTGTCCCGAAGATGTTAAATGATCCCACTCCATCAGCTTTGGATTCCAGAGGTGCATTTATAATACATATACCTTCTGCAATATATGCTTGGATTGGTAAGAAATGCGAAGCTATCATGGAAAGGGATGCCAGAAGTGCTGTTTGCCAAATTGCTCGCTATGAGAAAGTGCAGGGACCAATAGGACTGATCAGCGAGGGAGAGGAACCTTCTTACTTCTGGGATGCTTTTTCCAATTTCCTGCCACTAATGGACAAATCCAACAAAGGTGTTGATGTTGTTGGATCATCAATAAAAATTTGTCCAGGGCAACGGATAGTGGATACATATAATATCGACTTTGAAATTTTTCAGAAGGCAATTCTGGGTGGGTTTGCACCTCCTTTTGCCTCATCTGAGGCTGAACATGAAACCCATCTACCTGTGCGGGAAAGCTCTTGGAGCATGTTAAGGCGTAAGTTTGTTTCTGGGAACATGAAGGATTTCATATCTGCTTCAAATCAAGGACTCTCAAGAGTCTACCCTGATTCGACACGTGCAGTACTTGATAATTCGGCATCTAAGCAGCTGTGTTCTCCTTTGCTGTCCTTGTCATCAAATTCTTCATTATCACCATCATCAGTATCCTTATCATCTTCGTCATCATCCTTATGTGCTTCCTCCTCTTTGTCATCGTCTTCATTCTCATCACCACCCTATCTTTCGCCCGACTCATTTTCATCTGATTCGAGCTGTAATTCTTCACGATGTTCAGACTCCCCTTTGGTGTCTCCGTCATTTGTCTCATGTGCAGATTTAACATCTTCAGCTCTATCTGGCTTTTCTGATATGTCTCTTCTTCCGCCAAAGCTTTCTCCAAAGTCGATATCTAAAACTTCAAAGTATATTGATGTGAACTTTACTCTGCGATCTTCACAATCAACTTCTTCGCATTCTAGAAAGTTCCCAGTTTCTATTGCTGAAAGGAGAGGCAGCCAGTCAAAGTGTTTGAAGCTACCCATGCTGACTGATGATGCTCAGGGGAAAGATGGAATGGGTGTGACTTATGGGTCCAATTTGGGAAGTGAGTCACTTCGGATGGAAGACATTTTAGAGCCTCATAGAGGGGCAAATGCAAGTAAAGAAACCGACTCGCTTAGAATTTCACATATTGTAATCAATAATGATTCTCTCTTGAGTGAGGTTATATCCAGCACCATTCGAGAAAGTCATGTTTCTGGAGCAAATGACGTGCTCTTTTTTAATGGACTAGTGGATGGTCATCCTAGCAAGCTTATGCAACCTATAATATTTAAGTGGCCCAACTTGGAAAATATTGCACATTTGAGTGCTGCTGATGATTTGGATTCAGATTCTGTATATATTTTTGTTAGTTCTAGACCACAGTTTAATAATGTTCAGTGTAGGATTTTATATTTTTGGGTAGGAAGTTCTTTCAGCTGCAAGTCAAGTAATGTATGCTCTGGGAACTGCCAAAGCCTATGCGGTTCCAAAGAAATTCACTGGGGAAAAATTACTTCTGATGCCCTTCAGCATATGGGACTGCCACTGAATACTGACATCAAGGTATGTCAGCTATATAAACTTGCACATCCTTGAAGTCTTGTTTATTCTTTCTTATCTGTTTGCATTATCGAGCCTTCCTCTTAAAGGAGATCCCGTTCCCCTAGCACTTCAGCTTCTTGAATCCCTACCTTAAGTTTGATTCTGAAGAATTTGCTTATATTCCCATCAGGAAGATGCCTCTTGGTGGCCCCTGCCACTAGCATCAGCGTGCTATACTGCTATCAATTCCCTGCTTAGTGGGGCTTAATAGTCCACCTCCTTCAAACCATTTTCTTACCAATATATAAGCATGTATTTAAAAAGTCAAGCGTTTTTTGTTTTCCAAGTTCAGAAAACAATTAAAAAAAAACAGAAAACATGTTTACTTTTAGTTGTTTTCTAAATTCAGAAAGCAGAAAACCGTTCTCAAAATTTTCAGTTTTTTAGAAATGTAGAAAACATTTTTTATATTTTCCAAAATATAAAAAGTTTCTAAAACTAAACTGTTTTCCAAATTTCAAAGCAATCACAAATTACAAGTATAACCACCTGCACTCTCTATTGACGATGATCCTCTCATTATTAGTGACTTGTCCACTGCCATTACTGGTGACCCCACCTACTCCACTGACAGTGACACATCCAAACACCACCACAATTTCTACCCACAGCGACTATCTACATCACCACCAGTCACCCCAAGTAACTATCAATACCACCAATTGCCACCACCACCACCAATACCACTATTTTCAGTTTCTTCCCTCGGTTCTTTCTTTTTGCTTTTATACATAACCAAATGAGTATTTGCTCTGAAATTGCACAATATGTGTCCCTGTTGTTGCACGCCTTTTGATGACTTAGTTACTGTTGATTCTGGTCTGATGTATATGTTATCCTTGCGCTAAATACAGCACCTTTGTATTAACCTGGTCTTGATTTCTGAATGAAATGTATGGTGTAGATTGTCAAAGAAAATGAAGAACCGGAGGAGTTCCTAGATTTGTTGAATTATTACAAGTAGTGCTCACATGGACGAGAGGCATGCAGTAATTTTCGTAGATCACTTCTCTTAAAACCCTTTCTGAGTATCCACGATGCGATTCTGCCATTAGAGAACGAAGGTACACAGTGAAACTCCTAAATCTCTAGGGAATAAAATGTTTTGTTTCAATCTTCTATCAGTTTAATTTGTAACATATCTCTCCATCCCATTCATGTAATTCATTAGCACTCTTGGAAGTATGTTTCAACTATCTCGTCGTGTAAGGGGGAGACACACTTGGTTCCGGTTCTGGAAAACCAAGAACCTCTGTACATGATTGCACTTCTAAATTCTTTTCCAAAACCATTCCGGTTTTTAGGTCATTTACACTAAATTTTTAAAGCAGTTCTGGAAAATCAAGGACCTCTCTTTACATGGTTGCACATCTCTTCCAAAATCGCTTCTGGTTCGTAGGCCATTAATCATTTACACTAAAATATCAAAGCTGTTCTTGAACGAAAACCTCCATTTTCGGGCCTCCATTTCAATTTGATGGCTTAATGCATATCTGTTCTTCCCTTTTTTTAATATTACCTCACTTTCCGCTTTTCAATAATGACTTCACTTTTTTCAGGCGCCGCGTTTAAGTTTGCCAGAGGTGTGGTTTAACTGGATGAGACCCGGGGGCACCCGATTCCATCTGGGAAGAATAATTTCCATGACCAAGAACTAGATTTTTTATTATTATCTTCCCCTCCTTTTTTCTCCCCCACAAAGAAAAAAGTCATGTAGATTCTTAGGGAAAAAAGCTTCCATTGCAATTTCCATTATTGACTACAATTGAATTGTACATTTTCTATGCCCTGATTATAAAAGCCACATGTTGAGATCTGAACAATAAATAGCCTATAATTTCTCTCTTCTATTACTATTACTCCGCACAAAATAATGGGAAAGTTTATGAGAAAGCATATATTCCATATTTTGCCATTTGAAACTTTACTTTCTTGGGTTGATTTTTTTTTATTTGGGCCAACCTCTAATAATTTGGGACCCACGAAATAGTTTTGGTAAAACTCTAATAGGTAGTGTTTGGCAACTAGCATTTCATTTCAATTCATGCATTTCAATTCCAAAATTTGAAATTCAGAATTTCAAATGACAAGGGGAGGTGCATGGATTTCAAATTAAGCTTTGTTTTGAATATAAAAAATTTGATTCAAATCCAAATTTAAAATGCTTAAGTTTCCCAAACATGGAATTTAGGCCAAATCCGGATTTGAAATCCAAATCCATGTTCCCAAACATACCAATAATGTTTTGGTATTCCTCGAGAATTAAGGTTGGGTGACTCCAAGTGTAACCCCGACTTACACCTCATGGCCTCGCCTTTCCCACTCACAAACACTGAAGACTGTGGGTATGGGTAAATATTTGTAAGAGGTGAAGTGTAAGTTGGGATTACATTTGCGGTCACCTTAACATTATCTATTTAAAATATAGGTATATTTAAAGGTTTGTTTAGTTAGTGAAGGACATATGTATAAGTTTTGATTTCTCTAAATATTAGAATTTTTCTATGAGTGTTTTGTAAAGTCTAAAAAGGTTTTAGATTTGATATCTTCATCTATCAAGATCCCTATAATTTTTTTTTAAAAAAAAAATTATGAATTTGTATTTTATTAACCCTCTAAAATTCACCAAACAGGAGTGATGGGTATATTATATTCCTAATCCGGTTTGTAGACTGATCATGAATGGACCTAGTCAAATATAAAAACACCCTAGATTCGCCTAGAATGTCGTTTAAGAGACAAGCCAAAAAAAATGATCGGATGTACTTTAATTTGACCAAGCATGTTTTGTAAGGATCTTTGTCAAGCAACTTTGCTAAAACTACTCGGTCAAATTTAAGAAGGGATGGGTCCTATGTAGAATTTGCCAGTTGGGATCATCGCCAAGATCTCTAGGCGCATAAGAAAATTTAGGGACGCACCCCATCGTTCATGAGGTTGAGTGAAATAAAGAATCATATATGGAGAGAAAATTTACTTCTACCCCCTCAAATTGAGTATACTCTTTAAGAAAAAAATATTCGAGCACGAGAGATATACTCTGATCTAAATCATATTTTGTGTGTTAAATATTTTAAATATACCCTACAATGTGTATCTTGTTAGGATTAAATGGGTTACTACTCCTTTACAATGTGTTTGGATTGGGGGGAGGATGAGAGAAGAAAATGAAGAGGAGATTTAGAAAAATTGTGGGAAAAAAGAAAAGAAAGAAAAATAGATGAAGTTTCCTTATTGGTTCATCAGTCTTCCTCTCCTTTTCCTCCCAATTCTGGGGAGAAAAGTTTTGGTGTGGAATGTTATTTTTCTCTTCCTCCATTTTCTTTCTTTTCTAAACATGAGAAAATGCTCCGGAATATGTGATTTCTTACTCTTATTTTATTTTATCTCTTTTTCCCCACATTCAAACACAAGTGTAGTGCCATTATTGTCATGCCATATTGTCCAATTTGGGTGGTTTTTATTTTTTTTTTGTTACTTTACCTTATCTTTTAACATTAGGGATGTTAAAATGCCTTGAATCTGACCCATCACAGCTCCGAATCCGGCATAGTCCGTTTTCTGAGAAGTCCGTTTTCGGAGAAGTCAGAGTTCGGAGAAGTCAGAGTTCGGAGAAGTCAGAATCCGGAAAAGTCAGAATCCGGAGAAGTCAGTTGGGCTTCTAATTATCTGTTAACTCTGTAGTTTTGGGCCTAAGTATGTTAGGGTTTTGTCAGGCACTATCTATATGGGTGCTACCACAAACCCTACGAGCTGTACTCTGTTTTGCCTCTCCTTCAGAAATAAAACTGCTCCCCCTCTTCCCCCGTGGACTAGCCAACACAACGTTGGTGAACCACGTTAAATCTGTTGTTGTGTTTTTCTGTTTGTTCTTTGATTACTCAATACCCTATTCCGTAACAACAAACTGGTATCAGAGCTTCTGGTTCTTCCGATTAGGGATTTTCTGAATTCCGCACTGTTAGGGTTTCTTGAGTCAATCGAAGATGTCATCTGCTCTGAACGTGAAGATTGATAAATTCAACGGGAGAAATAGTTTTGGCTTGTGGCAGATCAAGATGCGATCGTTGCGGAAGCAGCAGGGATTGTGGGCGCCGCTGACTGAAAAGGTGAATAAGGCAAATGATGATGAAGAGTGGAAAACCCTAGAAGAAAAGGCTCACTCGACAATCATGTTGTGCCTGTCGGACGATGTTATCATCGAAGTCGCTGATCAGGAGACCGCTGCTGCCCTCTAGATGAAGTTGGAGAGCTTGTACATGACGAAGTCTCTGACCAATAAGTTGCTCTTGAAGCAACGTCTGTTTCGACTACGCATGCAGGAAGGTACACCCCTTCGGGACCATCTGGAAAAGTTAAGTAAAATTTTGCTTGATCTTCGAAACCTTGATGTTAAAGTAGATGATGAGGATGCTGCTTTAATTCTGCTAGTTTCTTTGCCTGAATCGTATGAGAATTTTGTTGATTCGTTTATTGCTGGTAAAGAAACTCTGTCTCTGGAAGATGTTCGATCTGCTCTCCACATGAGAGAAGATCGTCAACAGGCAACAAATTCAGCAACAGAAAATCAGGCATCGAGACTTTCTGTTACGGGTAAGGGATAGAAGGTTTTTGGAAAGAAGAAGCCAAACTCCAAAGGTCCAAAAGGTCCTAAACCCGGTGACATCTGCAACTACTGTAAAGAATCAGGGCATTGAAAGTTTGATTGCCCTAAGAAGAAGATAAAGAAAAAGGACAAGAAAGAGGATGCTCACGGTTCTGCAACTATGGCAGAAGCTGACGATTCAAAGTCTGAAGAAGACCTGGTTTTGGTTGCAGGTGATCAGCCACATCAGAATGATGTGTGGATTCTTGATTCAGGAGCATCATACCATCTCTGTCCTCACAGAGAGTATTTTACCACTTACGAGCAGGTAGATGGTGGCAACGTTTCCATGGCAAACAGTGCTGTTTGCAAGGTGGTAGGGATCGGCTCAATCAGAATAAGGACGCATGATGGGATATTCTGCACTTTGAACGATGTCAGGCATGTTCCACA